CAAATAAATTTTAAAAAATAGTACAGAAAGGCCCCATGAACCCTGCATTCAGTTTCCCCCAGTACAATATCACAATCAGGAACTTGCCATTGGTACAATCCACAGGCCTTGTTCAAACTACACCAGTTTTACATGTACTCCTGTGTGTATGTGTGTTTATTTCTATGCAATTTTATCACATGTGTAGATTCACATCAACACAGGGAAGTTTCTTTTTATAGTATCCTAGTTGCCAAAGAAGGAACACCAGAATTGGAATATCTCCATTTTGCAACTTCCAATAAAATCATGGAACTAAAAAAAAAAAAAAATCATGGATCTAAGCTGTTAATATCCCAAAGGGAGAGAATGGGGCAACATGTGCCTCCTGATGAAATAAACAGCATTTTATGAAGTATTCTTACCAAAAAGTTCAAACCCAAATCTGAGCATGCCTCAAAGTCAACTACCATGTGATATACCACATTAATAGAATAAAGGACAAAAAACCCACGATCATCTCAAGTGATGCAGAAAAACATCTGTCAAGATTTAATACACTTTCATGATAAAAATACTCAACAAACTAGAAATAGAAGGAAATTACCTCAACATAATAAAGGCTATATGTGAAAATGTATGTGCCACAGCTAACATCATACTCGATGATGAAAGACTGGCTGCTTTTCTTTTAAGATCAGGAACAAGGCGAGATGCCCACTCTCGCCACTCCTAGCCAGAGCAATTAGGCAAGAAAGAGAAATAAAAACCATCCAAATTGGAAAGAAGTAAAATTATATCTATTCTCAGATGAAATGATTGTATATGTAGAAAACCCTAAAGATTCTTTAAAAAAAAATTAAAAAAAAAAAAAAAAAGACACCTGTTAGAATAAATGAATTCAGCCAAGTTGCAGGATTAAAAATCAACACACAAATATCAGTTGCTTTCTACACATGAACAATTGGGTGATCTGAAAAGAAAATTACGAAAACAATTCTCTGCTGCGCAGGCAGCCTCACCCAGATACCCCAGTTCCTGCTCCACTGAGAGTCCTCCAGTTTCCTGTCCCTCCACCTGCCTCAGCCTCAGTCAGGGGCTTTCTAAAGTCAGCTAGCTGAAGGCCACAGAGAGTCCTAAACTGGAGATTCTCCAGAAACAGCGTCTTCTCAGAAACCAGGCTATCCCCTGTGATTAAATTTTACTTTCTCTTCCATTCTTGGCACAGGTCCAGGCTCACCTGGCCCCACCCATTCATGACTTCTCAGTTAAACTAGAGATGCCAATTTCCACTTGCTTTTTCTTTTTTTTTTTTTTTAAAAAAAAAAAAAAAAAAAAAAGTTTTATTTCTTTTAGAGAGAGAGGGAGGGAGAAGGATAGAAAGATAAAAACATTGATGAGAGAGAATCATGGATTGGGTGCCTTCTGCACGCCCCCTACTGGGGATCGAGCCCACAACCCAGGCATGTGCCCTGACAGGGATCAAACCAGCAACCTCTTGGTTCATGGGTTGATGAAAGTGAGCCTGGCTAAAAGCAGAGCCATGTGGCTGGGGAAGCACTTGAGACTTAGCTATGGCTACCAGTTTGGGTCCTGGTACTGGGTTTGGCCAGAGCAGGCCCTGTCCCTACTTCCCAGCTCACCATAACCAGGAGGGGTTCCAATCTCTATTACCGTGGGAGCTGGAAGCCTTCAAGAAGGCCAGTGAAACCTTGGAAGATTTGCTCTCGCTGAATGACTGGAGCTGCAGCTCTCGCCTCTTCCCCAGAACCAAGGACCTGAGGCAGCTGCAGATGTGGGAGCACCCGGGGCCTGGGGGCTAGACTTGCTGCGGAAGGTCCTTGGGAACTAAGGCTGACTTGTCCCTGGGGGTGTCCTGGACCAACCTCTTCGCAGGCTATGCCACAGCCACTCTGAGCTCCAGGTTTGTTTCTCGGCTCAGTCTATAGCAGGCCCCAACCCCTGGGACGACCTCTGCCACTGACTTTGTCTCTAGAAGGCCCCAAAGAAGGAGTCCCAAGACTGCCTTGAGGCCTCTGTCACCTTCAACCTCCTCTGTCTCCTCACATGGCACCTAAATGTGTTGCCAGTGAAGACCTGCCCATCTGAGAACCTGGACCCACCCCCCAGCCTGTCCGGGGCCCAGACCTTATTTATGCAATAAGTCCCACCCAGGCCTTAAGTTGTTTCCTCTCACCCCTTATTTATGAAGCATCAGCCCTGACTCATAAGAAATGTTTATTTTTCTACTGTTGTAATCAGTAAGGAATTGGAAAAAAAGAAGAGCCAACTACCAATTTTCAGGAAATTGAGAGAACACAGGAACAGCAGGGGCTGCAATAAGCAAAATGTAGACTCTGGCAAACTCTAAAGGACACTCTGGTTTCTTCAACAAATACATTTTAAGAAAAGAAAAATGGGGCCCCTATACTCTATAGCAGTGGTTCTCAACCTTCCTAATGCTGCGATCCTTTAATATAGTTCCTCATGTTGTGGTGACCCCCAACCATAAAATTATTTTCGTTGTTACTTCGTAACTGTAATTTTGCTACTGTTATGAATCGTAATGTAAATATCTGATATGCAGGATGTATTTTCATCGTTACAAATTGAACATAAAGCATAGTGATTAATCACAAAAACAATATGTAGTTATATATGTGTTTTCCGATGGTCTTAGGCGACCCCTGTGAAAGGGTCGTTCGACCCCCAAAGGGGTCGCAACCCACAGGTTGAAAACCGCTGCTCTATAGGGACATTTTAGAGTAGTGTGATTTAAAGAGCTATCCACCATCCCTAGCTGGTTTGGCTCAGTGGATAGAGCTGCGGACTAAAGGGTCCCAGGTTCGATTCTGGTCAAGGGCACATGCCCAGCTTGTGGGCTCGACCCCGGTGCGGGGTGTGCAGGAGGCAGCCAATGATTCTCATCATTGATGTTTCTATCTCTCTCTCCCTCTCCCTTCCAATCTGAAATCAAGAGCTATCCACCAATTGCAATGTAGAGACCTTATTTGGACCCTGATACAAATTTTTTTTATTTTTTAATATATTTTTATTAATTTTAGAGAGGAAGGGAGAGGGAGAGACAAATAGGAAACATCAATGATGAGAGAGAATCATTGATCAGCTGCCTCCTGCATGCCCCACACTGGGGACCAAGCCCGCAACCTGGTCAAATGCCCTGACGACTAGGAATCGAATGGTAACCTCCTGGTTCATAGTGGATGCTCAACCACTAAGCCACGCCGGCCGGGCCAAACTGTTTTTAAAGTATGGATTTATAAGACAACTAGACATGGGGACAGTGACTGGATATTCGACACTATAAAGGAATTGCTATAAAATTTTAGATATAATGGTACTGCATTTTGAAAGTCTTTATCTTTTAGATACACATACTGGAATAGTCACAAGTGAAATAGATGTCTGGAATTTGCTTCAAAGGAATTCAGGGTTGGGGATGTGGATGGTCAGGCAGGGAGGAAACCAGGTTGGCCACAACTTGGAAACTGTTGAACCGCTAAAGCTGAGTTCAATGCACATGGAAGTTCATTACACTTCTTTGGTAAATTAAAAGCTTTTTTTAAAAGAGCAAGTGGGGAAAATGTGATTTAAGAAAGATAATAGCATCCGGGACCCAACCCTTCCAGCTACTGTCCCACCCTCTGTTCATTTGGCTTCCACCTGAGTTTCATGTGGCTGCTCCATTCCAACCAGCACCACGGCCTCTCCAGCCAGGGAGGAGGAGCAGGGTGGGAAGGACATCTTAGAAGCCACACAAAGCACTTTTGTATCCCAGGGACCAGACAGTTATATGGCCATGCCTGGCTGCAGGAGAGGCTGGGAAAGGCCATTTTTATTCTGGATGGCTATGTCTGAAAATCAGGGCTTCCATTATCAAGGGAGAAAGGGTGAATGGAGATCAGGGTTCAATTTGCTGCAGCTCTCATCCCTCTGACACTGGTACAGGCATGTGGGTGCCACAGATGGGTGCTCAGAGCTGGCAGCCGAGCTAATGTACATCTGGTGGGCCTGATGATGTTTAAATATGCTTGTCATTTACATATACAAATTAAGCAATCTGCTGGAAGTCTCCGCTCCACTTTGGATGCAGCAGCGAGTGTGTGGCTTCCTTTGCTCTCCCAGGCTGGGTGTTCACCTCTAGGAGCTGCTGCTCCTGGCAGCCAGGATGGTGGGAGCCATTTCCTATGCTATAGCTAAAACCAAACCCAACACCTGGGCCTTTGATATGGCCCCAGGCCTGGATATTTGTTCAACCAGTGCCTGAAATGGAGAAACCTGTTCAGTCTCTTCCCCTGCAGCTGAGCCACTGTGTGGGGCCAACCCAGCAGTGGATTCAACATCGTGGGCACAGGACATCCCAAATAACCACTGCTCTTATACCATCCTTAAGATTTTTGCCATATATTTTGCTTTTGAGTCAACCATCATTTTTTAAAAAAACACCTTAAATTTATTTTTAAAGGAATCTCCTATCATTGCTCTAGATGGAAAACCAGTACGCCTATACTAAAAAGAAGGTAACTGAAAACCTAGCTAAGATTCTGCCAAAGGCTCTGAGCCTGACACCTGCTTTCTCTTTGTTAAAGACAAGCTAGCATTAAACTGACTTCCTCCTTGAGGCACTTAAATGGATCGAAACAATTAAAAATGCAATTAATTTTTTTCATTACATCCTTCAAATATTATTTAATGCCTGTCATTCACCACCAACAGTAATTTCTCCTGGGCAACATGGCTGAACTCTGTATACCTGTTTCCCCATCTGTAATCTTATAGGAGTGTTGAGACTTATATAAGATCTAGCATGTAAAGTCTCAGCATATAAAGTGCCTAGCTCACAGTATAAGCACTCAAATGCTGGCTCTTATTATTTGTCAGTTTCATGAAGAAGAAAATGTTATTAAAGAACTAAATATAGCTTGGGGGGAGGGGGGGGAACCGAGCAACTCAAACTTCAAAGCAGCAGGGAAGGGCGACATAAAACCACAAACACTTTATTTAATAATGGAAGACACTTTATTATTTTTTTTAAATCATCTCTCAACATTTCAACTCTTGGTAGAAATCAAATGCAAAACATCTGCATTTTTAAATTAGCATATATTTAACTTTCTCACTCACAGAAACTTCATACAGTAAGACACACACCAAGGAGGAGCATGGTCAGAGCAGTTCCTGTTCCAGTCCACGAACACAGTATTTCCGTGATGATACGAATACTGGACTTTCTCTCTGAGAACAAGTTAGCCATTCCTGCTTTTGTCCACTGCATAAGTTACGTGGCATCACGGCTGGTTAAGTTACTGTAGTGCTGGAGTGACCTGGAAATGGAAAACTAGAGCTCTCAGGAGTGGGACAGGCATTAACACTTCTGAAATGTGGAAAGGAAGAACATCAAAGATGAATGCCCCAGAAAGGGGTGGTCTTAGTAATAAAGTTGGTTGAAATTCAGCTTTACATACACATTGAATATCTACATCTGATCTACTAGATATATAAAAAAGCCATAGAAGATTTGAAAAACCTTAAAATCACTCAACTGAGTTGGAAGAACACCAGCAAATTCACAGTGGCCTCAGGATTCAGCCAGATTTAAATTTGTTCAAGAGCTGAATACCTCCTTCCACCAGAAAACCCACTGAATGTAAATTCCTATAACATTCTGTACATCACAAACATTTATGGCTAGAATATATTATTATTTCACAAGGAACCAGTTTTATTTTCAAACTCTTGCCCCACTCCTGCTCTGCACCCCAAAAGGAACATCCAGGGGTCAGTGATTCACATGAGGAGTTTAAGGGGCCTTCGGGTTTGCAAGTGCTTAGGCTCAGCTGAGAATCTCCGGAGACACCTGTCTGATGGGTGCACGCCAACGCCTGCCCACTTTTAGTGCAAAAAGATCGCAAATGTTGCAGAGTCCTGGAAACAGATGAAGAGAAGAGGACTGAGATGGAGGGGTGATGGGAATCCCAAATGAGTTTCCTTCTGAAGCAAGACTGAAGAAGTTTGGAGTGCAAGGTTCACACTCGGCAAGTGGCAAAGACCAGGCTGTAGATCCGCAGGTGAGGTTCCTGACTCGTCACTAGGTATCACAGTCTGCAGGTACACCGACCTCCTGGCCCGCCCTAACCCCCGAAGTGCACACTGGAGGTAGGTGTATAGAGATTTATTGTAGGGAAGACAGTGGTGCTCCACTGACGACTCAGGGATACTGTCTCTGTGCCTCATCTGCCCCCACACTCTCTGCTCTACCTTCACTGCAGTGAGTGGAGGACACATCACAGAAGGGCATGAGACACTCCCTTGGAAGACTAAAGAACCCGGGCATTTTTATAAATAGCTACATAATATTTTAACCACTTTGAAACGCACAGCAAGTTGATTATTTATTTAAAAATAAACTTCCAAAATTACCTATTTACAGTACAGTAAGAGGGGCATGTGCAAACAACAGAAAGGGGGAGTCAGTCCTGCTGTTGAAGGTCCACACTTCAATGTGTTGGAGCAAAGTTCACAAACGCCATGGGCTGAAGTGAGTTGTGGTGGCCACAGGATGACATTCAGCTAATACTGTATTTGGGGAGGGGGTGGCAAAGGGGATGAGCCATTGGAAGAGGCCCAGTGTGGCAGGAGGGCTCATTTCACAAGCCAACAGGCCTCTAGCTCACCATTCCAGGAAGTGACCTGGAGGGCCCTTCCCAGTCCAAGTTGGCTTTGTGGTGGGAAGGGTAGATGTGGCAAGAGTCCCTGGGATAGAAATCCTCTTTTAAAAAAAAAAAAAAAATGGGAGGGGATAAAGAGATTAGCAAAAATGAATCTAAATGGAAGTGCCACCCTCTCCCTTGTCAGGCGACAAAGCAGCCATCAGCTGAAATATGTTAGTCACTAAGTGAACTCCTACATGGTGCAGCTGACCCATATCCCCGGCACCTACATGGTCAAGTGCGGTTCTCTGCTTCCCAGATCAATGCATGAACACATCTTCCCCATGAAACCAGAAAGATCAGTGGTGTAGCCCTTGTAGCAGGGAGGTGCAAGGCCCAGTTTATCTATACACGAGATGGGAGAACTGGGTCGACTTGTAGTTCAGCTGGTTGTTGGGCATGAACTTGTGCAGCTCACTCTTTTTGCAGCAGGGGTCATAATGGTAGGCGTTGAGGCAGGCATCACAGGAAACTTTTGAACATTGAGTGCAGGTGTTGGTGGCACCTGGGCGATTACAGAAGCCACAGCGGGAGGTGGCTGTGGTGGAGGACTTGGATTTTGAGTGGAGGTGCACCAGCTGAGTCTGGCCCGCATACTTCTCCCTCAGAGATGACCCATGGGCCAGGCTGTCATGGGTGGAGGACTTGCTGGGGAAGGTGCTGGGCTTGGAGGCTGGGGGACAGGGGAGCAGGCTGCCACAGCGCTGGCAGAGGGAGGAGCTACAGGACAGGCCGCAGTTTTGGCACTTGGATAGGGCGGACTCTTTGGTGGGGGGCGAGTGCTTATGGTAGAGAGGGTGGGCATCGTTTCTGACCAGCCACACATCTGGTCGCAGGGCATCCTGCCTCCGGTATGCAGCCCTAGGTTCTGAGTCTGTGTAGAGATCCACGTCATCCTGAGCAGAGAAGTACGTGCCACGCAGCAGGCCAAGGCCATTGCTGGGGGAGGAGGATGGAAGGTCATCAGGACTGCCATGGGGGGAGCTGGACATGGTCAGGAGCGAGGGGGATGGGCGGATGATCTCATCCTTGAGGTCATCCCCTACCTCTGCCGCTACAGGCTCCTTCCGCAGGCTCAACGAGGTCTTCAGGGGCGGCTTCCGGCTCTGACTCTCCCAGTAGCTGTCGTAGGCATCCACTGACCTCGAGAGTTTGGTCACACGCGGCTTGTAGTAGTCCTTGGCCCCCCGCTCGCTGGCCGACTTCTGGAGTGCCACTCGAGCCACTGAAGCAGGCAGGTGCTCCCGGGCCTCAGCCCGCCGCCGCAGGGCGTTGGAGCAGCCCCGCACATCCTCTGCACTGCTCTTGCGCTCATTTACCACGTCCAGCTCGGAGTAGCCTTTGTCCTTGACTTGGGAGTGGATTTCCAGCATCTGCTCACACTCCACCTTGGCCAGAAAGAGTTCAAAGGAGACCATCTTCACCTGCAGGGTCTCCACCAATTCTGTGAGCTTGTACACAGTCCCCAACTCAGGCACGTAGCCCATGTAATTCAGGATGGTTCGGATGTCCTCTTCCAGTAACGTGGACTTGACATAATAAACGAAGGGGCCCGTGTAGGTCTGGAAGGAAGGGGGACAAAGAGGAGGGACTTTCTCTCTGACACACAAGGGAGACTGCCTCAAAGCTCAGCACATCCAAGTCTGAACTGGAAGCAGGAAACCACAGAAGGGAAGGGAGTGATCCCAATAGCTTCTCACTACAAGAGGCAGAGGCTAATGCTTACCAACAGCTCAGCGCCCTGGTGTGAGGGAAATGGCGCACCACTCCTATCTTAAGCACAGGGGACAAAGCCTTCAACTAGCTTTCTACTCGGCACCACAGCACTACTCCCTGTGAGGAGCAGGGCAAACTCGGTGAGGAACGAGGATCAGAAGCAGGGCCAGACGAGCAATGAGAATATTCCTTTCTGGCATTTCTAAAAGGTCTGAAGAATACAGGTGGGGCAAAAGTAGGTTTTAAATTGTTCATGTGGAAAATAATAAATAACAATACCAGAATAAACTTGTGTTTCACGTCCTCACAAACTGTAAACCTACTCTTGCCCCGCCCTCTATGTCAGACTTAAGACCCTGACTTAGTGAAAACCCTCCTGAGCCATCACTGCCTTCAGAATGATTCAGAATTCTCTCCCAGATTCCTCCTCCTCACTCCTCTGTTACTACTGGCCCTCTACAGCAGCCTCCTAACTGGTCTCCCTGCCCCACTCTTGCCCATACAGTCTACTGCCCATACACCAGCCAGAGGATTCTCTTCAAATGTAAACTAATCATGGCACCGCCTTACTTTTCAATCCACTTAGGACAAATCCAGGCCCTCTGCCCTGGGCCTCAAGGTTCCACACAACCTGGGTGCTGCCTGCCTTTCTAACCTCCCAGCAGCAGATGTGAGCTGCCAGAGGTGGGGACCCAGTTAAGAGATGACATTTAACAGACAGGCAAGGTGAGAAGCCATGGGGGTAACTCTGGTTGTTATCTCAAAGGCGGTGGGAAACACGGGAGAGTCTGCAAGCAGAGGAGGAATGTGATCAAACTGGCACAAGCCCTCGCAAGACGGACTGGAAGGGACAAGAAAGCAGAAGGGAGACCAGTGTGGAGGGCCCTACCTTAGACCTTACCTTAATGCTTCTGAATTCCTTCTTCCATGGGTAGAGAAAGAGGTTGACACCCACCGTTTCCAGCACACTGAAGGCGCAGTGCAAAGCCCGCAGGCTGGAGGAGCTCAGCGCACGCAAGGAGCTCTCCACCACCTCATAGAACTGGATCAGCCGGAATCGATAAAAGGGATCCACCTTGTGCAGACTGAGCAAGGTCGAGGCTGCCACCCGCAGGTACTCATCATTGCCAGGCCGCTGCTTGCTGGGGGTGGCGTCCACTTTGCCCTCATGGAACTGCACATACTTCCGAAATAAGTCATCCTTATATTTTGTATCCATTGAACTGGGCTTCCCCATCAGATCCAGGGATGAGGGGCTACCTTATCTCCTCCATGGCCTCTGGGTTAGAGGCAGGGACATGGCTAGAAGCACTAACATGTTGCCCACCTGGACCAGCGGAGTGTTCTGGAAGGGGAAGAACGAGAAGCAGGTCATCCCTTGCAATGGTCCACATATCAGCTGTGGCAAAACAAAACACAGAACTGGCCCAAGGTACAGTGGGCACCACCAGTCCTGGGCCCCATTTTGCTCATTCATTCAGCACATTTACTGAACACGTACTACATGCTCCCAGGTGAGCTCACAAATGAAAAGTATTAGGGGCACATAACCTGGTTTTGTGGGAGGAGTAGTGTTAAAAAATCCTCCTGAGGCCGTGACAGACACAAAAGATGAGGAGTGTGCCAGGCAAAGAGGTGGACGAAGGGTGTCACAGCAGAGGTGTCGGAAGGGAGAAAGGCCCTGAGCTAACACTATCAGTGCTGACTGCGTGCCAGGGACCTATCTGTACTAACACATTTTGTCTTCTCAAACAACCCTCAGAGATAGATATTACTGTTATCCCCATCTTACAGATGTAAAAACCGAGACTTAGAGACACTAAGAAACTTGTTGAAAGTTACAAAACTATTCAGAAACAGATCTGAGATGAGAGACCTGGCAGTCTGGTTCCAAAGTCCATGCCTGTAACACCACACCCTGCTTTCCTGAGGCAGGAAGGAAAGAGCTTGGCTATGAACAGAAGGACGCCTACGGTGCGGCTGCAGCAGTGAGAGGAGGGGAGATGAAGCTGCAGGCAAATGCGGCATCCCATTCCCCAAGGCCTCAAAAGGCACGTTAAGAATTTTATATTTATTCCAAGAGCCATGTGAAGCACCTGCCTGAAGAGTTCAAAGCTAGGAGAAGTGGGACATGATCCTATTTGCAATTTTAAAAAGAGACCACGCTGGCTGCTGGCCCCTGGAGAGTGCTTATATCTGCCTGTGATGGCCCACATTCCCCTTTACCTTAAGAGCAGTTTACAGTTCTGCTGGGAGAGGATAAAACGTTCTGAGCTGAGATACACACAATTTATACGCTCTTGCTGTCTGCTTGGCCACCCATTAGTAGCACATTTACAGATCCAGCAATATTCTTCATGCTACAATGCTGGGAGTAAATTGGATTTATTGAAGGATATTGCCAGGGCCAGGGGCGGGCAACATGGCACAGGGGTGACAAACAGATTCCGAAGCAAGGCTTCCTGGGTGTGAATCCTGGGTCTGCTTTTCTAGGTTACTTTGGCAAATTATTCAACCTCTCTGGGCTTCCGTTTTCTCATCTGAAGAAAGGGGTTGATAATAGTACCCAGAGTCCAGAGTTGGTGGGAGGATTGTATGTAATCAGTATGCTGGCTTAAAAGAAGTCCCTGATAGACAAGCAGCCATTCCTGTGTCTGAAGGTGCTATACCCCCCAAGATGCCAAGCTTTCTCAGGAAGGTAAGATCAGAGTGGGACAAATCTCACAGGATATGCATTTTCACACTCACCTGTCCTGCCTTTCCTGATCACAGCACCATGGGTGCAGGGAGCAGGGCATGTGCTTTAGAAATACCTGCTGTCTGAGTGAAAGAGGCTCCTAGCAGTGGGAAATGGCATTTGACCCCCTGACCAAGGTCAAAGGCTCTACATGGCAGTCTTTCCCTTCCCTCAAGTTCCACCCACATGACCTGTCTGCTCCTCAAATACAAGCTCCTTTCTATCTCAGGACCGTGGCACATGTTCCTTTTGCATCTTCTTCCTCTGACTCTTCCCATAGCTGGCTCTCTCATCCAGGCTTCAGCTCAAATAGCAGCCGTCCCTGACAACCCCAGCTCAGTAACTCCCACCTTCCCAGTCCTTCTTCATCCACTCATCCTGGGATAATCACCATCTGAAATTATCAACCTTATTTATTCACTTACTAACTTCCTCTCTTTGTCTCCCCCCATTACCCAGTAAACTCCACAAAGGCAAAGGACCACATCTGTTCTGTTCACCATGTTGCCTAACACAGGGCCTGCCACTTAGTGTTTGATAAAGCAGGTTAAATGAATGATGCAAAGGATGTAAGCAATCATGATGCCGCCCCTTTAGTTTCTTTAGCTCTCCCAAGAATCCTGGTGATCAGCTGGAGAGAGGAGCAGAGGCTCCGAGACAGGATGTGCTCTACGTCCTAAGTAGCTCAGGGTTAGAAAACGGTGGACCCAAGATTCCAAGCCTGACCTTCTGACTTGGAGCCTGTGGTGCTCCCATCACCCCACGATTCCTGAGTTCATCAAGGATTTACGAAGCACCTACCTCGTGCCAGGCACTGGGCTGGAGGCAGTGTGGGTGGATACCAGGTGGTAGGAACAATAGGGGACAGAGTTGAGAAGACATAGTCCTGCCCTCAATTCTAGTTTAAAGACTTTACTGTCTAGTATCAAACTATGTATGTTCTCTTGGAAAACAAAATTGTATTGCAACCTGAGAGAAGACATCACTGTCCTTGCTAATAGAAACCCACATGCATTTATCACTTTTTATTTATCTGAGGAAAGTTTCCATCCTGCCTCCGGCCCCAAGGACTGCTTGTTGGTACCTGAGAACAATTTAAACAGAGGGACATCTAGCCTCCTAAACACTGCTGTGAGTTTTCATTCAAGAAAGTCAGCCTTGAGCCCTTAGAACAGTGGTTCTCAACCTTCCTAAGGCCGCGACCCTTTAATACAGTTCCTCATGTTGTGGTGACCCTCAACCATAAAATTATTTTCGTTGCTATTTCATAACTGTAATTTTGCTACTGTTATGAATCATAATGTAAGTATCTGATATGCAGGATGTATTTTCATTGTTACAAATTGAACATAATTAAAGCATAGTGATTAATCACAAAAACAATATGTAATTATATATGTGTTTTCCGATGGTCTTAGGCGACCCCTGTGAAAG